CCTGTCCTGCAGTAGATCCCCCATCTGCGAAGCTGTCAGAGGTTGCTCTTGTCCTTATAGGGCAAGGTCACACACAAGGTGACTTGCGACAGACCAGCTGTCGCCCTCCCCTGCCACCCTGGGGCACGGCTGAAATGAACCACTGCATCCCAAGGCAAACAAACACCACCTCAAAATGATATCAACGGCTTATTTTCACCCTGATTAAACTAAAGAGAGGACAAGAGAAAGCATGGGGCCTTTGGTGCTTCCTGGCCACCAAAAAGAAACCCGCCAGGCGAGGCTGAGGTACTGGATTACAGAGAATTTAAAAGGAGAGAAGGTGGTTTTTAAAAGCAGGACTGAACACAGGCTTCAAGTCCATGTCTTGGCTACAGTGGTGGCTGACTAGGACTGGGACTACTTCCTACTCTTCTTCCAGGAGCAAGGACATGGATCTGTGTCCATCCCCAAGAGCAGAGCAGCCAGCCAGAGCACAGGCCTGCAGGCTATGTCGGCTCCATCCACTCTCTTTGCTCACTTAACTCCACCAGGGTACATTCAGGTTTATGTTGTAAATAATGTTCTGTGAAGAAGGTTAACACATCACATTTTTCTCGAATTCTCTACTTCTCCAGTCTACAGTGTTCTGCCCCATCAGACATGACAAGCAAAACCAAGCTGTCCCCACCACTCCACAGACAGGCACGTGTTTATATTACAGTTTGTGAGTTAAGGCTGACTGGTTTTCAGACCTACCCCCTAAAATCTTCTCAGTGACAATCATAACTAATACTCTTTTGCCTACTACTTAGAAAGGCTTTATATTCATCTCAGTACCTGTGTTCATACCTTGTCCTTCACCTCCCTGTCAGATTACACGCTAGCCTTAGTGCAGCCTGCTGATAAGCAACTCAGAAGCAACCCCAGTATAACTATAGAACACTTATAATCCCATAAGCAACCCAAAATGTAACTATTTTGCTTCTGTACAAAGCAGACGTGTGCAGAGGCTTGGTGTAATTTCCTACTGTTGGAGAATCCCAGAAATCCATTCCTGACTTCAAATACATACTTCATACCAAGTTGATGGAGGATGTATAGCTGTACAAGGTTTGTACAGAAAATAATATCAATTATTAGACCAAATAACATAGCTGGAAGAAAACAAAGTATTTTGAGTAATAAATACTTACCCTGGCAGAGAGACTGAAATCTGAAATTCTCTGCGTTACTTCTGTTTGAATAGCAGCAGGTAAAACATTTTATAGACTTCCAGAAACTTCACCCTCTCTTGTACAGTGCACTGTTAGCTAAGCAGGCTACAGTAGAAAACTCACAGCACAACTGTTAGGAGACTCTTGGTCAAAACTGCACATAGGTAGGTGTGCCTTCAGCATCTTACTGGGACAAGTGTCTGCTAAGTATTAACTTTTGATCTTAAGAAATGCTGTGTACTCAAAGTACTAACTTCAGCCATGGTTTGAGGAGTTTGACAATTCTGAAAATTTCTTTTATTTTACTTTATTGCCCATAGAATAGGGAATAATATTGCCAAATGAACATGCCAATAGACAGAGATAACAAAATGGCCTGGTGAAAGAAAAAAGTGAAAAAAGTGTTCAGCATTTTACGAAGCCTGATAAACTGGAAAATCTTTAGCTTATTTTTAATATGGTAAATATGTGTCTTTCAAAATCTGTTTCAGACTTGTGACCAAATTGCCCCACTGTAATTTTTTAAGAGGAGGAAGGCCACAGCAGATGGAGAGGGACTGCAATACCTGATCCATCTCTATTAAAAGCCTGGTGTTGTAAATTTCTTTCTAAAATGAGGCAAAGAGAATAACAGAGAACCTACCATAACAGTGGCTCATCTGTTCAGTCATTTGATGTATCTCGTTATTGTTGTAGTTACTGAGACTCAGCTTTATCTTCTGCGCAAGCACAATAGTGGCACCATATTGAAATGTGTAAATATATTTTCAGAAACTATGTAAAATACCTCCTCTGTACTGACAAAATAATGCACTTAGAATACATGAAACCCTGAGAAAATGCTGCTGCCTTGGGTTTTAAATTCCTTTGATTCCTCATCTTACTTTTATTGCACATGCAGTGTTATCTGACAAATATACTTGCCTATTTAAAAAAAATATTTTGTCTTATCATTTAAACAGCGCCTGTCAATGTTACTTAGTCCTTGTTCGTACTATCCCTATGAGTGATGGTACAGAAATAGATCAGGTTAAGGTCGGCGTGTGTAGCCCAGATCTCTAACACTGGCGTTTCTTATTCCTGCCAGTGGTAGCCCCGCAGCGAGTATTTTGGACGAAACGAAGCCTTCAGAAAGGGTAGCTGTAGGGTCAGGGACAAGATGTGCTTTTTCTGACTTCATTTCCCTCTTCTCCATGCCCGTACCCGCCCTGATTTTGCTGAGGTTTCCAACACGAGGGGGTATCCGTCCCTTGGGTACCAGCTCACAGATTAAGCCCTGCAGTGCCGCACAGCCCGGAGGGTGAGAGGCAGAGGGCAGGAGGGACAGGGCAGGGACAGGAGGGCTCCTATAGCAAGATGTTAACGCAGAAGCTACCCATGCCCTGAGGAAGTACAATGTGGCTCCACAGACACATGCCATAGCTTTTGGCCAAACACCAGCAGCTTCGTATCCAACTTAGCTCCCGGATCTGGAGTGTGGAAAACATCTCCTGGGGGGAAAAAGAGGGGGGAAAAAAAAAAAAAA